TAAGAAAAAGAAAGCGCGCGGATTCGAGCAGGGCCGGTCGGGTTTTTCCGGCCCGCTTACGTCAACCCGTCCGGCCCCCATCACGTGACTTTTTCCAATGGTTTTATTAGAGCGCGCGAGCAGGGCCGTACGGGTCATATGATAATACTCATTATCAAACGCTGTCTTAGTATGATTATATCATTATGAATGAATTCATTATGAAGGAATTCTCTATCACTTATGCGGAGTACTTGCGTTGACCAAATTAAAAAAAAGATAATAAATAAGCATCAACGTTTTGGAAATTAAGGAATGAAAAAAAAAAAATTTCCATTTTTCATTTAGTTTTTAATACCTAGGTTTTCGATTTTTTTAGACAATTTTTTTCATCGAGAAAAGAACAATTTCTATCAACGCATTGTCTCAAAGTGGACACCTGTCTACGAAATTGAAACTTCGAGCATGAATCTCTTTATTTTATTTCGAAATTTTTCCCCTAAAGCAATATTAAAGAAAGATCTTTCCCAATATATTTGTTTGTCAGATATAGTTTCTTCAAGTTCTTCAAGTCAAAACAAGTTAAAAATGATTAAAATCTAGAATAAAGCTTGTAACTTAGATCGTTGCCATAGAAACAGACAAGGCTGCGTAATATTAAATGCACTCCTCGTCTCATAATATTTTTTTTCTGCTCAAGTGAAAAAAATAAAGATTGTTTTTTGGGGAAAAGGGATTGACACATTATTCCTTTATGTTTCTCATAAATTATTAAGATATTTTTTCGTTTATTTAATTAGTATTGTATTGGACTTTTCTGTTTTCGATGGAAATGATCATAAAGTAAATATACGGTATTTTTCGATGATTGTTTGGAGATTTTCTTCTCCAAAATCAGGAAAAGAGCTCGCTTATTCTTCAAAATATTGCAATAGTTCGAGTTACTAATGATTTTAATTCAATATTCTTGTCTAGGAATTTTAAAAGATTACCTAACTTTCTAAAAAAGCAAAAATTTAGCTTTGTGGAAAAAATTTCAATGTCTGCAAACAATTGTTTCCTGTTCGCACAAAGTTGGAAAAAACCTCACTTGAAAAAGAATAATTTCGCGTAAAAATAAATGATTCATTTGATAACTACGAGTTTTTGCTTATTACTTTCCCTATATGACCTTTCGATATTGAATTTTATTGCAAAGTTGACTTCCGTTAGTATAGAATTATGACATTTTGAAATATCCGAACTGCATTGAATATTTATTTGACAAGCTACGTCGTTCAGTCAAATTTGTCCGAGCCGCCGTTCGACAAAATATTCCGCGAAAAAAAACAAACACATTTAGTTCTTCAACCTTCGAATATGTTAAAGGGTATTTTCTTCAAAATTATGGCTCAGCTGCATAAATTCTTTTCATGGAATAAAATTTAAAACGTAAATTTTCATGTTTGGTTTTGCGAATAAACAAATATTGTTGCTTCGTTGACTTTTTTCTTACAGCAAAATTACCCTAACCACAGATTATTCAATGAACCAGTGCACAAATTCTCTCAAGTCTTTTCTCTTTTAGTTTTACAGGAATAAAAAACAATTTACTATCGTTAATAAATTTTTAGCTAAAATTTAAGCCCAGATTTTTTGGTTATTTTTGAAGCTTTTGAAAAATCAGTATCCAAAAAGACAAATATAAGCTCATACTTCTCGCTAAAATGCAAATTTAAAGCAAAATAAGTTCTTCAAAAAAATGAGAATGATTGTTGATGAAAAACGTACAGAAAACAGGTGAAGATTAACCGAAATATTTCTCGTTTCCTGTTCCGTACTAAGAAATTAGAAAGCTATATTAAAAATAACATTTTTTGATGAAAATAGCTTCTCTCGTGATGTTGAATGTATTAATAAGGACTGGTCTCCGCTAGTCCGGCCGTCAAATTTTATGGCGAAAGAACATTCACTCAAATAATTCCCTAAATTTATTCTAGTTTAAACGTGTTTAAAAAGGAGTAGATTTTGTCAGTATATACTTACACGGAAGCTGATTGAATGGTTTTACTTGCTGTAGTATTGATAGAGATGGATCCATTTGTTGACGGTGTAGATCGTGAAACTTGGTTGTCTTTTGCTAGCGTTACAGTGTTGGAACATGATATCCCCATTGATGAAAGCACCAGTCAAATAAGCTTAATTCTCCTAACGGAATAAGCGCTAGTTTACTTCTCATCCAAAGCTTTATACAACAAACAGTCGTCTAAAATCAGTAAACATTGTTTCTTCAACGAAAACATAACCCGGCAGAGGCGAGTTTAGCAAGTGTACGATCCAACAAAATACGGTAATTTCGTCTCAACGGATTCTTTTCTTTCTTTCTCCGAGGCACCCTAAATGTTCGTTGACAAACGCTTTTGAACAGAAAAGATTAGTTAGCTCATGATTGACGTGAAATACCGCATTAAGCTTAACTAAGATAACATACATACACATTATTTTGTATAGTATAGCTCTTCGCAAAGGATCTTGGTCTCTGGTATTGATTTGGCCACCAGCAAATAATACGAAAAATATAATTTCACAAAAGAAAAAGAAAAAGGCGAGAAAGATTCCTACTTTATCAATGATTTTTCAGTGTGTTAACAAAGAAATAATATATGAAAAATAAGCAAGAAAGTAAAAAAATGGCACTTTGACAACGAGTCCGAATACTCTCTTGTTTCCATAGCAACGATAAAAAGCTTCTGCGAATCTTTCTCTCGATTAGATAAAGTATAAAGTCGCCTTTAATGAAGCAAAAATGCAGTAAGTTGTCCAAAGGTCAAAGTTATCAAAATTATTGTTGTTATTATTATTGTAGAAGGATCCTAACACGGCGATCTAACGTCTCATGAAATGATACCCGGTTTTTTACTGCTAGTTTTACGAACAGGTGAAACTACTCAAAGGAATCGTCATTATTACTTGAAGCTAGGCTTCGTGATTATGTCTTGCTTGACAATGATCCATCAAAAGATAAGCTTTTTGAATTCATTTATTAATTGTCCCTCTTCATTCCAAATTCGAAATTTTTATGACGGAATGTTCTTTTAGTTCTTTTAAACTAAATTTATTTTATCTTTTTAAAGCTTTGGCATATTATATACAAAATTATGGCAAAAAAACAAAAACAAAAAACAAAAAACAAACAAAAAAACCCAAAAATAAAAGTATTTTGCATTTTATGAGGTTTCAGTCACCTTTTTCGGAAATGCAAAACATATGGCATTGTAATTTTCGTAGTAGCCTAAAGTTTGTTTTTCAAAGCGCTGCGCGGCCCTTATATTTATTTTATTTATTTGTCACAGTAGATCTTTGTAAGGCGGCAGCCATGTTGATTGGAACAATAGATTTACCCCACGTGGCCTCGTATTGAAGTTCTTCAGGATAAGGTTACATAAAAACAAAGCTAAGGTTGTTGTTGTCATTCGAATAATGTTATAAACATCCGTACAAGACAGAACTGAACACCACAACAGTTGAATCCATTACTGATAAAAACAAAATTATCTATGGAATTGATAACATAATTTGAACCAATCACAGCACGAACATTTATTGCATGGAGCATTTTTTTTTGTATTAAGCAATGAGAAACATCATTACGATACTGACTTATACTATATATATGACATGCCATAACATTGAAATGGCTTCCCATAAGAATGGTCATCGTAAAAGTGCGCGAATCATACGGTACTGACTTGAGCACGTACAAGGTACGACATACCATAACACTGAAATGGCTTCCCATAGGAATGGTCATCGTGTGCGATGTCGAAGCATATACTTTACTGAATTACAGCGGTACGTCATGCCGGAACATTGAAGTGGTTTCCCATAGGAATG